TATATCGTTTTAAGTGCCTGTTAAAAGTATATGTTTTGTATGAGTACCGTAGTGCCTACTTTACCAATAGATACGACAAAGAGGTCTTTAACTAATAAACTTAACCTACTTTTATGAATATCACAGACAATAAAATAATTAATTACAAAAATAGAACTACAAGGGCTTTCTACAAATGTATTAATATACCTATAATCATGTATGTAGTGAAAAATAAAGTCTTAACTGATTACAATAATTTAATTTATTTAAAAAAATTACGTATTTTATTTACCCAAATGATAAGTACACAAAAGAGGGGTAAAATTAAAGCATATAAAAATGTATGTTACTGCTCTAGAAACTTTTACAGTTTAACGTGGAATTGGTGGCGTCTAAAAAAGACGTGGGTGATTGCATTTCCAAAGTTCATCCGCACCACAGGCAAATTTTAAAATACAGGAAGAAAAATAATAATAAAATGTTATACTTACCTACATTATATTGTAGGTATTTTTATTTTCTACTTGCTCCAAATACTATGCCTAAATTATTATACTTAGTGAATATAAGTGCAATCTTCCTGAGTAGTAAACAATAAGTACATGAAATATTTTAAATTGCTCTTTTTTTAACCGCCACAGATTAGTTTAACCAACAAAAAATATTTCTATATTTTAAGGAAAAATTTAATATTTAAGGGATATTTAGTAAGGATTATAATTTAATCTCTGAGATAAGTAGAGCTATATAAAGTCAATAATAAATGCCAATCGGCGTCAAAGACGGTAATTTTGCTAAGGTCAATCTCTAACCTCATTTATTAAAACTTGATGTAAAAAAAATGACATTATACAGGGTGTTTCAAAACATATGCGAAAAACTTCAGGGGGTGATTCCTTGTTCAAAATAAAGGGTAGTTTGCTTCATAAACGTTGGGTCAAAAGTCAACCATTAGGGAGATATTGCGATACAAGATGGCGGAAAAATAATGTTTTTATTTTTTATCTTGAAAACGAAAAGAGATAGACTAATAAAATTTTATGGAAGCATTACTGTTATGAAACACACTTTCTGGTAATTTTTTCACTTTTTTAAATTGAGTGGAAGGGGTTGAAATAAACTACCCCTATCATTCTTGTTAACGAAATTTAAAGAAAAATCTTATCAAACACATGCAAAAAAATTAATTTGGATAGTTTAGTTTGTTTAGAAACTTTTTTATCTCTTGTATTTTTTTGATAAAACTCACCGATTTGAAATTAAAAAATAAAATGTAAAGCATTACATGTCAGGACAAAAACATTTTCTGATAAAGAATCTAGTGGGCTGCTGTAATTTTTTAGGAAAAAATCTAGTCGGCCGCTGTTACTTTTAGATGTTCCTAATATTATTTTATTTGACATTACTCTACTGCAATACGTTATTATCTAGATGATTATTATTATCGTTATTATCACTAGATTCTTAATCTTAAAATGTTTTTTGTCCTGACATGTAATGTTTACAATTTATTTTTTAATTTCCAATCGGTGAGTTTTATCAAAAAAATACAAGAGGTAAAAAAGTTTGTAAACAAAGCAAACTATCCAAATTAAAGCATTTGCATGTGTTTGATAAGATTTTTCTTTAAATTTCGTTAACAAGAATGATAGGGGTAGTTTATTTCAACCTCTTCCACTCATTTTAAAAAAGTAAAAAAATTACATGAAAGTGTGTTTTCATAACAGTAATGCTTCCATAAAATTTCATTAGTCTACCTCTTTTCGTTTTCAAGATAAAAAATAAAAACATTATTTTTCCGCCATATTTGTACCGCGATATCTCCCTAATGGTTGACTTTTGACCCAACGTTTATAAAGCAAACTACCCTTTATTTTGAACAAGGAATCACCCCCTAAAGTTTTTCGCATTTGTTTTGAAACACCCTGTATAAAGATTAAAAAGGAATAGAACCGTTTTGAGACACACAAATCTATTTCCAAAATATTAATTTTTCTTCATTGTTGATACATATGATGTTTTCCCGACTTTTGGATAAACTTTTAAAAGAAGCAATGCTCATTCACTACCACCCCAATGGCTTACCCCTATAACTTTTTTATTTTTTTCAGATAAAGAAACGATATTTGGTACGTTAGTAATATGACATAAATCAGGATTGATTGACGTATTATCATCACGAAAAACAATAGACGATCAAAAAATCTATTTTTCCAAGGCAGCTTGATTAAAAATTAGTGTTTTTAACACAGCCATGACATTTTAAATTAAAATTTAAAATACGATTTTAAATTTCAATCTAGATATTATTTTTACGTGAGGAATCTCCCCACGAGAGATGGCACATGTTTTTTGAAACACCCTGTATAAGAGTTATAAAGTATAATTTATCTTTTTTTTATATTATATTATTAGTAAATAATTATTATATTAATCATTAACAATGAATAAAAAATCAACTCTTAATTATATACAGTTTGTCCCACAAAGCAACAAATATGTTACAAGTTGTTTATTATATCAATCCCTGTAATACAAAAAATAATAAACAAATATTAGTAGGTGCACAATATAACGGCCTTTTCGATTGTTGATCAATATTAAAAAATACAGACAAAAATAGCCGAATCTATTAAATATAAGTGACTAAAACTTTCAGAAATTTTAAAACATTATTTTTTTTAAGCAAAAATGTTAAAAGTTGCCATACGGATCGAGGGTGCCATTCAAAAATCAAAAGTTGTAGTTATTTCCGGTGAAACAGGAAGTAGCCATAAACAATAAAATTGTATACGTCAATCAATCCTAATTTATGTTATATACTAACATGCTAAATCTCGTTTTTTTATCAGAAAAAATAAAAAAGTTATAGAGGTGAACGACTCTTGAGAAACTTCCGGTATATTATGATTGTGGCCCTAGAACAATAATACGATAATACCTTTTCTATAAATAAATAATATTAGAGAGAAAATTCAATCGCAATTTACTATAAAATGCTTCAATATACCACAAAATTACATACGCAACAATATCACAAATCGCATCTCCTCAAAATTCAAACTCGCAAATAGAAGGTTAAATTACGGTCCTAGTTTACAAAATCACAATCGCTGCAAAATCGCAAATCGCAGTTGTAGTAATATTGGCTAAAAATTCAAGCTCGCAGATAGCAATCACGGGCCCAGTTTACAAAATCACAATCGCAGCAAAATCGCAAATCGCAGCAAAATCGGGAATCGCAACCAAGTCGCAAATCGCAGCTATAGCTATAGTAATACTGGTTGTCTAAACTGAAACTCGCAAATAGAAGAAATTGCAATCGCAGTTTCCTATGAGAGCCAATCGCAGGTTGCGATTGCGATTTTAAAATCGTTACGGATGAATCGCAGTTTGTGATTTTTTGCTCATCTCTAATACTAACATACCAAATTCATTTTTTTATGTGAAAAAATAAAAACGTTATAGGGGCGAGCCACTTTTGATAAACATATATAGGTATATAGTAAAAATTTAAAAAAAATATCAGACAAATATTGTTTCTTTCTCTAAAGCTTTATTTCAGTTAAATTGCTTGAAAAATTATTTATCTAAAGATTGTCTATGTAGACTGTGCCTTTATTAAAAAAAGTGCACTAGTCTTGCAGCGAGATTAAGATCAGGACAACGTAATTATTAGACTGGAAGATCAAGACCAACACCAAAGGAGTCTTGGTTTTGGTTTTGCATTTGCTCATCAATAAACATAAAAACATAATTTAATTTGTGGCAATTGAAAGCCTAAGCTGTGGCCTAAGTCAATGTTTTATTAAGAAATGATTTATTCTATGTAGTCACCATAATAAACCTGAAAAAAATATATAAGGAGAATATATAAGAAACTGATTACATAGTAAAATAGTCCTGCATATTCGCCACTACCTAAACTTATAGCCCAGTGAATTTCATTCTACTCTGTATGCAAATATTTGCTATTTAATTAGCTACCGAATGGTCAACGGCATTTAGTGCAGATTGGCTGCATTCGTCCGGCTCTGTATGCGTTGAAAAAGTGAGAAAAAGTGCATTGAACCTCCGGATATTTTGTCCATCCCACGACGAAATCGTTTCCGCCATTTAAAAACTTCAGTCCGCACCAGATTATTCAGATTAACGCGAAGGGTGAGTCAGTTTAATTTTTTTTCATGCTTATATTGGCACATCCTGGGCAAAAACTTTTATTTTATCTGGTTTGATAACTCTCTCAATGAAATAATTAAACTATCATTACATGTTAACTCAATAAAGTGGATGAAAATTATATTTTTAAGAGGAAATTGTTGTAGTTCTCTAGATTTTATCTACTAAAACAATTATACACTGTGATATATACTTATTGATTAATACTGTACATTAATTTTTTCTCTAGGTATATTTATAGGAAACATCAATCTATACTTAGGTATCACAGGTAACATAGTATAAATCTTAATTACAATTTTATATTTTTAATTTATGTTTTTGATTTCTCTTTAATTGCGATACATTGTTAAAGAATAAATACATTAATTTCTTATCTAAACAACACTAATTTATTTAATTTCTTTTTTATTCGTTTGTATTCACAGAGGTATTTTGCAACAATTTAATTTGATAAAAAATCTAACAATTAGAATATTAAAAAAGTTTCATAACGAATTTTAAATGCGCCCTCTAGCCGAAAGCGGCGACATTATCCGTTTGTAAACATGGGAAAGATGTCTGTAATTAAAAAAAATCTGTAAATTACAGCTCCCCTTGGAATATACCAAATTTATAGAAAATAGTTTTTTTTTATAAGAAGGAAAGGGCAGAAAGTATTTTAGAAATGGAGGTATTTAGAAATTTATTGTTTCATAAAGATTTAAAGGTCCCGTTTATTATGAAGAAATATTCAAGTTTTACGGGTTGCAGACTCAGGCAGTTGCTAAATGAATGTTGAAGTTAGTTAATCTGTGGTTGAGGTCTAATTCTGTGTTCTGTGGTCTAGTTAATTATTCTATGGCTTGAAGTTGAAGTTTTATTTTAAGGAATTTTTTGGTTGATTCAATTCTTTTCGGTTTAAAATTTTCCATGTTTTAAAGTGAAATTTGCGTGGTCATAATAATTTTAATAATTATTCGATTCGTGAATTTTGTGTAAAATCGACATGAGTAAAGTTTGTGTTATTTGTTCTGGAAACGGCATTTATAAGTGCCCCACATGTTTTATATATTAGTAAGTTATTATTTTTCATATTATATCATTTTAAACTTAAATTATTGTGTGGTTTACATTGTGTGTAACTTATAGTAGATATAGGCACTTACATTTATTCTTAAATTTTAGTTGTTCAGCAAAATGCTGTAAAAAGCACCGAGAAAACGAATGTGAACTATTTAAGAAGGAAGAACAACCCGATCCTGATTCTGAAGAAAAGACCAAGAAAACTTTAAAAACTGGTGATGAGGTATCAGCAGATAGATTACAGTTATTAAGTAAGTAACTTAATATATTCCAAAATCTTGGTAAATATTAGATATATTGAAAATGCTAAGATAGGTTATGTTTATATTTATAGATTGTTATCTAACCGGTTCTATAAAATGTGAGAGAAATAAATTTTATAAATATGGGAAATATTTATCCTAGACGCAGTATTAATATGAAGATACTGATTTTTATGTTAAAATTAATTAATGTTTTTTTTTTCTTACTTTTCAGAGAATAGTGATGAAGTTAAGAATCTTTTGAGCAATCCACATTTGCGAGATCTACTGGTGACAATAGATGAAGCAGACAATGCTGAGCAGATAATGCAGAAAGCTATGCTGGAGCCTATATTTGTTGAATTTGCTGATGCTTGTATTAAGGCTGTTGAACATCCTAATAGCAATCGGGATGAGGGACAAGATCAAACGTGAACTGTTTATTAAAGCATAATGCTGATTTTCTTTCCTATTTTCTTTATTTTGGATCAATAAGGAAAATAGGTGATCTAATTCAAAGTCTGTCCATATCTCCATGTCACGAATAGCTCTTCTTTAATACTTTCTACTTAATTGATTTTGTTTTACTTTTTAAGTTATAAAGAGCTTTATAAAGATATAGTACTAGTATACATTTGTTAGAATTAGACATTTGCATGCATCTAAATTCATATACTTAGTTGGATTTCAACTTTTGGAATGTGACATTCAATTTAATTTTGAATTCTTAAAAAATTAATATCAATTTATGTATCTTTCGATTCCTAGCTGTATAATCAAACATTCATTCACCAGAATCTTAAATGTGTTCAAAGTCACATATTAAAGGCTGAAATCTGAAAGCAGTAATAAATTTTGTATGTTAAATATACATTCTTATACTCTTTTTATATAATTTTGTGTATGGTATATTTGAAACAAATAAAATTATTACTGAGATTTTGATTGTTTTATTCATGACTCAAACTTTCTAAAATATGTATAAAATATTTTTTCTTTGTTTTTGTTTATTGGAACACCCTGTATATTATTTTTTTATTAGATGGAGGGTTAAAAAATTATTATTATATTTCAAAATTTTTAATAGTTTTGCAGATACGTATTATTGCATAATATGGCGCTTTCAAAATATAAAATTGTAAGGGTAAAATACGAGAGAAAAATCATTGGTTGGCTTTGATAAACATTTATTGTGGAAAATGCCATATGAAATATAAAACTGGGAATATCTGCGAAACCGTTAAAAATTTTGAAATACTCTAAATAAAAAAAAATGTTCATTTTTTAATTCTCCCTCTATTGAAAAAATAATATAATTCCATTAAAAAAAAGAAGAAAAATTATTTTATATTTTAGAAAGTTTGGCGTAGAATTTTGAACATCCTGTATGATTTACGATTTCCATATTTATAGCAAACTAAGTACAGACCATTTAACGTAAATACCTAATACAGTTTTGATTTCAGGACAGTTCTTGTATATTAATATTGTTTTTAAGAAGGGCTGAAACATATAATTTTTATTTATTTATTAATATCTCTGAAATTGTCGAAATATATTTACTCATGTTTTAGGATTATGTAAAGTGATCTGAAAGGAAGCCAAAAATGCAATTAAATACAAGGTGTTCCATTTAAAAAAAATCATCCCGATCCACTCACACTTCTTTGAGCCACCCTATAGAAGTTAAAATATTTTCTTGAAATACATCCTAGTACATACCTTAGGGTATTTGCATTTAAACAAGTTTTTTATTCTAGGAGCTACAGATGCCCGACGCACGATATTGCCAGACCCTGTATGTCAAAAACAGGCATATTTATGCTCTTTATTAAAACACCTTAATTTTTATTCCGAAAAGAATTAATACAATTTATTAATTCTAATATTATTTATAATTTTTTGTTAATTTAGTGTCGAAAATAAATTATTATATAGAGTGTTCCATTACAAAAAATCCAACTCGTAACTCTTGCTTCTAGGATACTATACATATATTTTTATAAAGTGCTTTCAATTATGAGTGTACTGATTTAGTAGAACCCTTGATTATAATATATAAACAACGATAAAACTTAATTAGTTAGAGATACACTAATTTAAACAATTCTTTCGTTCCTCATTAACTTCATTACCTACCTTTATACTGTTCATAACTAGTACACAAAAAAAACAATACATTTTTAAAAGATCATGAAAAGTTTTGGTTGAAAAAATTAAATCTTTTATTTTTTTTAAGTAAAAAAGTACATACAAGGCCAGTCTATAATAATTATTTTTAAACAAGAACTGATATCTCGATATCTGGACAAGAATATGTTGTAGATACCAATATGTAGATTGTCCAATAATAAAATAAATAATAATTTAACATTTTACAGTTCGTCATGAATTGTGTAATTGGCTTCAACATAAATTTCCAAATCACTAGGTAACATAATATTATTGAGATATTTTGCTACAGCCCAATATCTTTTCCTTAACAAAAACGCACTACTTTTCGGTTGCCTGGTTCTGGTAAAAATTCCTTTTTTATTGCCACCCACTCTTGTATAACTTTGCGCTGTTTTAAAATCAGCAAAATTCCAAATATGTTCTCCAACAAACCAACTGTTGTTCTGTCTAAGTTTATCAAATGCTTTGAAATATTGTGATATTAGGGTGGTTTGGTATTCTTCTGACCAAATGTATGTAGGTAACTAGAAAAAAAAATAACAATAAAAGAATTTGTTTGTTTGATTTAGAATGGGTAGTACTTACAATATGCAATCCTTCTAGAGTATCAGCCCCATACTAATCATAACAGGTTTGTTATATTTATAATGCCATTCTTCAGCTTCTGATATAATTAGGTTTGTGATTTCATCTAATTTTCCTGTATTCTCGTACCAACCTTGATATCTGTTAAAACTTATAATGTCTAAATAATATCCCTAAAAGTCAGTTTTAATATCTAATAAAGATACAAAATAAAACTGCAAAACTTACAGCGTTGTCATCATCGTAAGACTGAGCTATTGCAGCTGTAACAGGTCTGCTGATATCTAGTGATTTTATATGGGCCACAATTTTTCTAAAATATATTTGTTAGTAATGTTGCTAATTAATACACCAGAATCCAAGAATTTAATTTAGGTTGATTGGAGACTTTGGCTTATAATATCTCTGGTAGCAAAATAACACTTGTTCAGCATAATACATCCAAACTTTCTACTGTGAACTATAGATGCGATTTCGTTAACATCATTTCAGCATCATAACATGATCAAAACATGATGCTAATATAATGTTAGCATCATCATCAGATGATTAAAATCAGTCCAGTATTCAAAGTAAAGTGTTTTTGTATAGTATGATGAAATGACTAGTGTTTTTTGACTGTTAACGCTACAACTATTGGGTCAACTTTCGTTTAGCTGAAATCAGTTATTAGAAAAAGATAAATTTTTGTCTTTAAAAAGCTACTGTGAACCACGGAAAACACAAATATTCCTGTGGAAATTTTTAGAAGCGTTTATAAACTCAGGAAAATAAAAAATTTCCTACGGAAACGCTTGATTTTTATTTTCCATTTTTGTAAGCATAAATACATAAAAAAATATCTTTTTATCACTTTTGAACCAAAAAAAATAATTTAAAAATGCTAACCAATCTAATAATAAATCTAATAATATTTTTACAAAATCGTTTTTAAAAAACCAGAGCTTAACCTCCACAAAGAAAAGCTAACCAAAGCAGCCCAAATCATAACCAATCTAATAATATTTTTGCAAAATCACAGTTAATTATTAAAATATAAAAACCACAGCTTAACACCCTCCACAAAGAAAAACTAACCAAAGCAACCCAAATGCTAACCAATCTAATATTTTTGCAAAATCACAGTTAATTATTAAAATATAAAAGAAAACTGCATGATCCAATGTTTTTTTGTTTTGAATCAGCCCTATTTACGTAAAGCTTTAATAAAAAACAAGAATGCATTCCGAGGTACTTATAGTTTACAAGAACCTATATTATTTATTCTACAAAAATTGTTATTCCTCCGAAAGATGTTTTACCCCACCCAGCACCCCTATTCGCTCCCGTATCCCGTAAGCTTCTAAACATAGCTTCTAAACTGAAAAATGTATGAAAAACAAAGTGCACAAAATGACTTGACACATTTCCGCCGGATTTTTTTTGTATTTCTTTGCTCGTAAAAGCTGGTATAAAACTAATATAAGTTCATTTTTCATGTAACTGATTTCGGCTATTCTAAAGTCAAAGCATTTTTTATGTAAAATAAAAAAAAAACTTTCCGCGGAGACTTTTTTGTGTTTTTATGTTTAGAAAATATGTCTAAAACACACCCCGAAGACTAGTTTTTATGTAACAGATTTCGGCTATACTAAAGTCCGAAAAATGAAAATGACGCATTTCTTCAGGAAAATTTTTGTATATTTGTACTCCTAACGCCTTCTAGAACGCATATTTATAGTCATTTTTTATATAACAGATTTCAGCTAAACGAAAGTTGAGCCCAATTATTTTATATTATTGATGCATGCAGTAAGACTCTTCTATTTTTATATATCTACATATTAAGAATTCTTACTCGAAATACGGTCCGCTTTCTGTATACTGAGTGGTAGGTTCATTTGCACATGACCATATTACTACAGAGGGTCTATTTTTGTCCCTGGTATAAAGTTCTGTAAATGATTTCTTATGGTTCTCCAAAAGTTCGTCTCCATATATTCTACAAAGGGAATATAAATAGTAAATTTATCATATATAGGAGGTAAATCGAAATCACGGTGTTCACAAAATGCTCAATATTGGATTTTCTATTTCAGATTTTTATTCCAATTTTGTTTCAAAATATGAGATGATGTATACAAGGTGAGTCACAAATAAGTGCAAATATTTTTAAGGGTAGTATATTTTGGTCCCTGAAACACGTGTATGAGGTTTTTTTCGCTAATTTTTTTTTTGAAAATATGGAATTTTTTAAAAAATATTTGGATTAATTTTTCACTTTTAAGTTAAAAAACACAATTTTTTGATAATATGGCAACATAGGTAGTAGATTAGATTTACAGGGAAAAAAAACAGAAAAGATCCAGTGGTTCCCAAAATTTAAGCAAAAAATCATTTTTTTAATTTTCCAAGTAAAATTACTCGGTATTTTGGACATATTTGAAAAACGGTAAAGAGAAAATATGTTTCTTTTATCGAGATCTACCAGCCCTGAAAATATTTGTACTTATTTAATAGAGAAGGTGATTTAATTCTAAACTAATTTCTTCTAAATGGAGTATACTGTAGATGTACTTTTTTTCTCAGGATTGGCAAAAAAGTCTGTTCCAAAAATACCAGTAGGTATGTCAGGATCTCTACTTGACAGTTTTTACAATATTGCTATTTTTAAACAAATTTTGTAAAGAAAATTTCCTTAATTTTTTTAATTGGAAATATTTTTAATATTATCGTTTTCAAAACTGTTACCAATATACAGGGTGATAAATTAGTTACTGTATTCGTTGTTACTATTTTAAATGGAACACCCTGAAATGAATGTAGATTTTGTTCAACTTTAGGTATGTTTTGATAAATAATTTTTATACCCAAAATCGATTTTTATACATTCTTTTTCTATTTTATAGAAACTAATTTCAACTGTAATGAAAAATATATTGTAAAATTAATTAGGACTTCAACTAATTTTCAGTTGTATTTTTTCAATTCTTTGGTAACAAACTATTAGTAAAAAAATTGTGTAAAAACTCCTTTTTCTTATTTTTAATAGCAGTTGCGCCCTCTAGCGGCCGCTCTACAAACTTGAAAATAATTTCCAGCAATTTCCCATGCTCCCTTTAGTCATAAATATTTTTTTCCCCAAGCTCTACGGCTAATACTTTCCGAGATACAGCCGAGAGCTATTCTTATTGGGACAC